TTAAAACAGACTAATAATTAATCACACTTAACACTTTAGTTCACTTTATTTCGCATTTAATTAAATATTAAATTAAATACTTATCTGAGACGGTTCCTGAGGTAGCCGCACGATTCAGGATTGTTTATACTTTTCCTTAATTCGTTCCAAGTTTTTTAGTTTTTGTTATTCAAATAATAAGGGTATTGTTTGAGTTTTTAGCTGCTGTTAACGGCATTGTGTTTCAGTGGAATGAAATAAATTTGTCTGACTTGCATGAGGTAGCTGTTAAATTTATTATTTGAAGTCCCTCCTAAGAATAATGAATAATAATATCACCCGCCGCAGTTGTATGAAGGATTATTTGTATAGCACTAATAATCTTTTGGGGGTGAAAGTACTCAGTATTATAAACAACTTGAGACCAATCCTGAAATATTATAAAAATTGTTTTAAAAAACACATTAAATATTTTTTGTGTGTTCTCATATGTTGAAGTCGAGTGAGTATAAAAAAAACAACAAAACCGACGAGAAATGCAACCTCAAAATACGTGAAAAAATACGCGCCGAATTGAGAACCTCCTCCTTTTTTGAAATCGGCTAAATACACAGTATACCCTCAGTTTAACAAATACTTAGTAAAACTGAGGGTATACTGTGTATCAAGTAACCACAACTGAAGTCAAGAATTGATCAGTCGCAGTCTTTTTTGATAAGCTTATACTTAATCGACACTGTTATAATCTTCAGTGATATGTGAAATATTTTTTCTATTATAATACTACTAACTCAATTATACACCATTGTTTTCACTTAAATGTATTCAATACTTAGTAACAAAATCCAAATAATTTTTTCCAACCTGAAGGCCGACCTCATCTCCCTCTAAAGTTGTTCAGCGTGTACTGATGTTTTACAAAACACTGATGTCTAATGTCATTCTACAATGATGTCAAAACTAAAATACATATTTATTTCGGTAGATTTATAAAATAACATAGGTAAAAATTGGTATCAAAGAAATTGGTTTAATTGGGGAACTTTTTTACTAGACAATATTATTTAATTTCAATTTCATAATATGATTTTGAATTGGACCAATCGCACTAAGTAAAATGAATTTCAATCAGTTATCATATCGCTTGAAATCTATAACGTTCTTCATGTTCAAAAAAATGATTAGAAAATTTGCACTCGAAGTGTCTAGAACAACAATGGGTTAGCCGCTTTCCCATACATTCAAATTTCTTTTTTTTTGATTTGGATTTTATTTTTTTTATTACTTTTTATTTTAATTTTGACGTATTTTGAATATTTATACGATAAATTCATGAAGTATCATAATTGTAATGATGTATTTTTTAGCACTTGGATACATTTAAACACGGAATAATGTAAAAAAGTTCCGCGCAAAATTTTTAGGAAATACTCATCTGTTTCTTTCATGCCATCTCTCACACTATTTACGTGCCTCCCTTTCAAACGTCTTTGGCTTTTTCCTCTCTCGTGACAGCTTGTGTTGACAGCCTGCTCGCGTAGCGTACGCGTGCTGCTTGCACTTCGACTTCGACGATAAATTCTACGATGATCACGTGCAACACTGCGGCGTTGATCGCGCTCTGAACTGCGTTCTCGAGATCGCTGCAATTGTAGCCGACGCTCACCACAATCACTGTGGCTGCGGTTTCGACTGCGCCTCTCGATTCCTCGCAGATGTTGACCACGACCTCGGGACCGCTGTCGATCATCTTGTACTACACGAACTACGGGCGCGTCGAGAATTCGCCTTGGCTCCTTTGTCACTCATTTTCCTTGAACTCGGAAACAATTTTCATGTATATAATTATAAAAACGAACAAATCTTAATTTTCATTTATTCTATGACGGAAGGTATTTTAAAATTTATTTTATTATTGCTAACAATCACAATTTTTATGTAAAATATTTTCGACATATAATGTCATAAAAAAAGAACAAATTTAAATTTTCATTCATTCAATAACAGAAGGTATATACATATACATCGCTCACTAACTAAAGTAGGGCTAGTGCTAGTACTCTGTTGTCACCAAATCACTTCCACCAGCTTTATTTTGCACTTATATTATTTAAAAAAAATGCTAACAGCAAGTGGAGATTTCAATTAATACTTATGACGTAATTATAACATTATTCATTAAATGGAATTAATTAAAAATAATTTCACCCGGACATCAGTGGGTCGGTATGGATGTGAACAAGACATCTTTCGAAAAACTGAACTTATCAATTTGATTCTTTATCTTTAAAAGAAAAACGTATTTCGGTAATTAATAAAAGTAGATTGATTATCACTTTTGAGGCACGTCTTACACTATAAACATGGTTTCTTTAAGCGCCTGAGCAACTGCACGTATAAATTAATGTACTATGAAATTTTGAGTCAAGTTTTAGTATATTATTCTTCTTCTTCTTAATTATAATAATTCCCTTGCTTTATCTATATAAAAAAATTTAATTCATAAGTAAAAAAAAATATAGTATCTACAGTCCTACTCTCCGTGGTATTGTGCCAAGAATTTTTTTCATTTTAATGTTATTGTACATTCTACTTAATGTTGAAATAAGCAATGCCATGATAATGCCAAAACTGTCCCAATGCTGAGCTTTATACACATATATTATCAAGCTACACATTGGCATGTAATGATAATTAGATCTTCTGTGCGTGAAGATTATGGTAATGTTAGGTGAATAAATCAGACAAGATGAAGTTAATTTCCGATCTCATTCGCATATCTGGAGGCTTATTAAAATTATTTATGGGCTCAAAGTATGGCCACGTAGATAAACGATCAACACCTTATATTTAGTCATTCGAAATATAATTTTATTCAATTACTAACTACCAAATTACAAAAAATACAAAAAAAAAATACGTTGATATCAGTGAATCTTATGGTAAAGATATCGTTTAATTATAAATTAACATGCATAGGAACAAGGAATGAAAAAATAAATAAAAATGGTTATTTACTTTTGTTCATAGTCTGTAAATAAGACCTTGCGTTCGATCGAAGACAGTTATTCAATATTACAAGCAGAAACTTCACTTATGAGATTTTCCAAGATATCTTGGAACATATACGACATGTATTTACTTTCGCTAACGCGCCGGAAATGTGTTGGCTCTAAATAACTTGTATGTATAGTTCGTATATGTTGGCAAGGCAAATTTATTTTTTTCTGGTTTTACGTGTTTTTGAAATTAATATGAATGTATTGAATTTTTTCACAATTTCCAATATTATTATCTGAAGTGAGTAGAGGTTAAAGATATCCAGACCGGCAACAGGGAGCAGTGTCAAGGATACGGAACCTAGGATTTTATTGACGGAAATTTCTTCGCTAAAACATTTTTTTCTCATGACCTTCACTTGTTTTTCTACTCCAAATCTGATTTTCTCTTCTTTTACAAATCGACATATATTATAAATGAAGGGAACAAAGAACTGTGATTTTATATTCTAATAGTTAAAAAATAAAGACCTGCTGCAACTTAGCATTAAACAATACTTGTCCTTTATGCATAGCCAGCCTTCAATGATACCGTGTTTGTAACACTGCCAATTTTAATGTAATTTACTACGGAAATAGTTTGCAGCACGACAATTATTCCAACAATTTTCCTTAACTTTACATGAGAGTCGTAGTGGCATGGCGGTTGGTCGATTCAATAACATTCCTTAGTAGTGTTGAATTCTGAGTTCGAATCAAGTCGTCTTCAATGAAATTGAAGTGTTCTACTTATTACCACCACTGGTGAATTTATGTTCACACATAACTTTGTAAGTTATGATGAAAGTTTTAAACAAAAGCTTTCCAGTAGTCACAAAGTTTATCAAGTTGTAATAAACTTATAAACAGCTTGACTTTAAATACAGTGAAGTTAAAATTATAACATATGGAGGTAACGATGACAGCATTCGTTGCCTATGACATCAAAGAAGTTGGAGTTAATATTTTACGATGCCGTTAACGCCATTGAAAATAAAAATAATGAAATCAATGCTAAGTCACGAGACTGTCGCGTGACTTAATGTTAAGATTTGTCGTTTTAATTCAATTCAAATTTTTATAGCGTTAACGATCGTAAAAAGTATATCATTTTAATCTCACAGGACGTTAAACACCTCAGTCTCCCCCACCCTCCGGAACCATGAGTACTACAAAGCACAAGAAACGTCGGGAATCAAAAAGTTAAATTAAAGACGATAAAATCCGTAAAAGTTAGTTTCATTTAATGTGTAGTGTTATATTTCTTAATTTATTACACTCTCAACAGTGTATTGTAATACGTACATTTACGTTTACGTACATTTTACTTGACTCTTGGCCATGTTACCAAAAATATCCAAGTCTAAAAAGCTCTTACCAAATAACTTTTATTCAACTTTAACTTTTATTTAGCGACAGTAGCTTAATTGCAAGGTGCTAACAGCGTAATCAAAAGATCGTGGGTTCGAATCCGCTATTCGACTTTTATCGTAAACCATTACTTAAAAAAGCATTTCAGGCCTACTAGGAGTGTTTAAAGGGAATATGAGTAACTAGTTGAGTAACATAAGATATAGAGAGTGGGTTGTATGCACTTCCAATACGATTCTAAAGAAGCTGAATCTTTTTTTGTTTTATCCATGAATCACTTAACCCTAGAAAGATAATCTACGTCAAAATGGCTCCCACGCGAATGAAATACTGCCGCCTCTTTTTAATTATTGCGAATCCGGCGTTGTGCTTTTCAGACATCTCATTCACCGCTGTGGGCTAGCTTGGGGCAATCGCATCATTGAGGTAAGTGCCCACCATTTTGAGATACGATAGTCACAGGAGTCAAAATTACGTATGATTATCTTTTACGTGACTTTTACGATATTTGGTGAAATGGTTATTTGTGTTGTTTTTTTTATTGTATTCGTTATCTTTGTTTATTTCTGATATTGTTTTTATTTTTAGTTGTCGTGATATTGCTAAGTCAAAATGGGGACTAGAGATTTGGATGAAGACCACATCCTGGCCGCTGTTTTGGAGAGTGATGAGAAGCCGCCCCGTATTGACACCGACAGTGAAGTTGATGACTACGAGAGCGAGGATGACATCCAGAGCAATGAGGAAGATGGTTTTTTTGGAAGTTGTGAGGGAAGAAGAAGCAATAACTCCTTTCTAAATTGACCCCATGGAGTAAGAAAGCTCTGAACAAGCAACTCCCTCAACGGCTTCTCGTCGAATAATAACTCTGTAACGAAGAACTATCAGAGGTAAGAATAAGCATTGCTGGTTGACCTCAAAGTTTTCAAGAGGTGTGGAGTCTCAGCACAGAATATCGTCAGGTCTCAAAGGGGTCCAAAACGCATGTGCCGCAATCTTTATGAGCCTGTTTTATGCTTCAACATCTTCTTTACTGATGAAATAATTTCCGAAATTGTAAGATGGATCAATGCTGAAATATCCTTCAAAAGACGGGAAACTATGACTAGTGCTACATTCAAAGACACAAGTGAGAATGAAATCCGTTTTTCTTCTTTGATCGGCATCTTGGTAATGATTGCAATAAGAAAAGACAACCATATGTCCACAGATGAGTTGTTCGACCGATCTTCTTCAACATTATATGTCTCCGTGATGAGTCGTGATCTATCACTATTACAAATAATTTGTTACAAATGAGTGCCCAAGAAGAGGATAAAATAGAGCCAATAGCCAAAAAACGTGACTACTGTAAATATTGCCCCTCTAAAATAAAGAGAAAAGCAAATGCCATATGCTCTAAAATAAAGAGAAAAGCAAATGCCATATGAAGGGGTCAGGGGAAAAACAGCTTTTGTCACATTTTTTGTTTTTTTTCAGCTGGCAATGCAGTGTTAATGAGCATACCCGTCTCTATGTTTTGCCAAAAACAACCCGGACAATAACATTCATATAGTCCGTTCATCTTAACTTGACGCGTGAGTGATTGGTAGCACTGTTTCCTCAGTCGCCATCTTAATTTTTTTGATTGGTTGCTATCTGTGTGCTATTTTTCTTTTTAATAATTTAATCTCAGTTTTAAAAATTCCGAAAGTAGTTAAAAGTGCTAAAAGGAAAACTATTCTTCAAATTTACGCTTTTTGTGGCAAAGAAAAGGGTGTAAACAAGCTGACTTTGCCATTGCAATATATTCGTGCCCGAGTTGCCGCTATCACCGGTTTGTTTTTAGGGTGACCAGTTACAAAGATTTAGATTAACTGTTGTTTTTGTAATTCGCTTAATGATATTAAAATATTTGTATGTAAAGAAGTATATATATTTTAGTAACGTCACGTATGTATTTTAATAACGTTACTAAAATATTTTAATGTTATTAACTACCTAAGAAAATAAAATTGCATTTGTTTAATGACTACAGATGTATCCGAATTTACTGTAACCCGAATCTTGATACAAGAAAGAGAGATCAGTTCTGTTTCAAATATGGGTGGGCCTGGTCCATCAAAAGTAACACCTGGAAAAAAACGTTTATAGTTCATAAAAGATAGCTTGATCTCTGCGACAGCTGTCAGTAAAATCACGCCTATGAAGGCCTGAATTTCTTATTAGTACAGACAGTACCTGTCAATGTCATACTTTACGGGCATACCGATCTAGTTAGTGCATGCCCATAAAGTATGACATTGACAGGTACTGTATGTACCACTAAGAAATAGGCGTGATTTTTACTGACAGCTGTCGCAGAGATCAAGCTATCATTTATGAACCATAAATCGCGATACAAAGATCAAAATCGATAATACTGGTGCTGGTGCAACACAACAAAAAATTATGTCATTTTACGCTGTACGAAAAAAAATTGCTACGTTAAACAAATTACTTGTCGAATTGCTAGATGAAACAAATTTTGAAGGTGGGCGTACTACACTATGGAATATATTAAAACGACTCGGATATAAATACAAAAAGTGTCAATCAAAACGAAAAATGTTAGTGGAACGAACAGATATAGCTGCTACCTAATTGTGTGATTGTGAAGGACAGTGCACCATATGATAAAGTACAAATAAATAAAAGCCCTAATATGGCAAGCCTCAAAATAGATATGGTAGAGTGGCTTTATAACAAGGCACTGTTGTTTTCACCAAATTTTGCCAAAAAATATTTTATGTGAATTAATAGAAATAAATAAACCAGGGCCCATAAATAAAGCTGACGAATTAATAAAATCACATGGTCATAATGTTTTGCGACTGCCCCCATATCTTGCAGATTTAAATTCAATTGAACTAATATGGAGTGTTATGAAGAGACGGTTCGAAGAGAAAAAAGTGAGCCAGAGAGAGAGATGATCAAGTGGAATCCCTTATAAAAGAAACGTTAAGCTCAATAAGCGAAGAGATTTGGAAAAAAAGAGCTCAGATGGTATAAAAATTTGAATATGAAAAATAAAATAATAAATGAAGTAAGTAATCGCTTTTTATTGTGGGTTGGCATTTTAACCTCCATGGACAGTGACGAAAGTGGTAGTGACAGTGAGTGTTCAAGTAACATTGAAGAAGTTATTATCCCTTTACACCTTATTGATCATAATTATATAAAATGATGCTTTTTAACCTTCTCTTAATAAATTTATCCCGAATGTTCCTATTGATATACGAATTATTTCAGAGAGTACACAATAACACTTAAAAAGTCACATAAGTATAGTCATCAGCACCATATCCATATCCATAATGCCTTTCCCTGCATTTTGGGAACGCTATTCACATTGAAACATGCAACACTGTAAATTACAGTGCTGCCAATCGGATTACGCGTCAAGTTACAATGAACGGACAATAGTCACTGATAAATCTTGCTTTTAAATTATAGGTACAGGTAAAAACAAACTATGTCCATAGAGTTCAGGGAAAAAAACATCCGTTGTTCATGGTTGACTATGACACATGACAGTGACACTTTTAGTTTATTTTTCTTTCCAATCGTTATTGTTTTAAGCATTCCTGTCGAATTATTTGATTTGTGAGTTTTTTTACGAAAAATGTTAGACGAAGAGTGTAATGTTTTTAAGGTGTGAAAGGTCCAGTAAAAAGAGGAAGACTTTTGGTCGTATTTCAGAAGTTAACAAGAAGCTAAACCTTCGAAGTCATGAAGCGGGTGAAAATTGTTACTGTAAGAGGTACAAGTGTTTTCAAGTTGTAAACCCAGAACAAAGAAACAATATTTTAAGAGATTTTAATCTCCTGCCAACTCGTGATGCACAATTCAGCAACTTATACATACCGGGTTAGAATCACTAGCAATAATCAAACGATAGATATTCTAATTTGTTTTAAGGCATTCATGGCTATACATGGCATTACCCAACATAGGTTAAAAACCCTGAAGAAGTCTTTGCAGGAGACTGGACATGCCCCATTAGACAGGCGAGACAAACACAGTAACCGGCCAAGGAAACTCACAGAACAGAAGATATAAAAAACAAAGCAAAGTAGCACATTAGGTCATTTCGTGGCCGTAAAAGTCATTATAGTCTACACGAATCCTCGAAACTATATCTTTCAGAAGATTTAAACGTCAAAAAAATGTACAATATGTTTCAATACAAAGATTCATTGTCTTATGAGTCGTATAGAACTTTTTTGTAAATAATTTTAATATTGGTTTTGGTTACCCGAGGTCAGATACTTGTGGAAATTGTGACGAGTTTAAGGCTAAACTGAAAGGCTTAGAAGTTGACTTAAAGAATGCATTTAATAGTGAAGAAAAGGGTATTATTGAAAAAAAAGATTAGAGATTTAGAAACTGAAAATAAAGTACACAAGTTAAAAGCCGAGGTATTCTATCGCAGAAAAAGAGAAACAATTTATTGTCAATCATCTTCTACAAGAGAATCTACAAGAGAAAACATGGATTATCAAAAGAATTTGAGCATGCCTAACATAACTTCTAATGAGACCTACTATAAGAGACAGCTTACCTTCAATTTATTTAACATTTATGTCTTGGCTTCCTCAGATTCCTATTTTTTTTGCTACGATGAGACCATTGCTAAAAAAGGAGCAGATGAAATGTGTTCTTTCCTACATCATTATATCTTTACAGAACTCAATGCGAATATCAGAGAGTTAATAATATTCTGTGATTCATGTGGTGGACAGAATAAGAACTATTGTATGTTTAGATTTATACACTAAGTAGTTCATACAGCCAAGCGTTTAGATATGTTTAAAATGGTATTTCCTATTGGAGGACATTCTTACCTAGAATGTGACAAAAACATGGCACTTATAAACCAGAAGGCTCCATATGAAACACCAGAAGACTGGAGAAAAGTAGTATCTGAGTCAAGGCTAAAACCTTCACCATTTCGAGTTATAGACGTTGATCAGCCTTTAGTTAGATCTTGGACCAAGTTTTTGTCACCAAAATATAAAAAGACATGCCCATTTCTTTCTACACCTATCAGTGAGATCAGAGTTGATATTTCACATCCCCGTCTCATTTTCTACAGAGATTCATATAATGGGCAGTGGACTTCATCTGTTATGCTGGATGCAAAGAGAAAAAGGGCAAACTCAACTCCCTGTGCAGATGCTTCTCATTCAACAGAATTTATTTTGCCTGACCAAGCTTACAAGGACATTCTACCAATCAGTAAAGCAAAATTCCTAGATGTACAGTCATTATCAAAATATTGCAGACCTGTAGGAAAAAAATATTATTCAGAACTTAAATACTATTCCACTACCTAAAATACTAATCCAATACATTAGTTTTAATTAAAGTAAGTACCTATGTGTCTTGGTGACATTGGTTGTTTTGATTTGATTTTGATGGACATAGGATGATGTTTTCCTGATTATTCTGACTATGTCATAATTTTTTATTATAACTAAAGTAATGCAAAGTAAAAATAAAAAAATATAGAAAGACATTTTACTATAAATGTATTTTCAAAAAAATTTTTGTCATTTATTTGTCCTTAAATAACCCATTTTTTATGATCTTAACTTTTAATTAGTAATATCTCAGTTTGTTCATTAGGCGACAAAAGTTGTTTTTCCCCTGACCCCTCCATATGCAAAAAATGTAAAGCTGTTATTTGCCGACAACATAACATTGATATGTGCCTAAACTATTTTGACTGATTTTTTTTTTTTATACAATTTTCATGTTATTTTTTCAATTTTGGTTTTTATTACTTAGAATATAATATAAAAATACTGATTTATGATAAGACTATGAAAAAAGCTTTAATAGAAAAAAGAAGTTCCTAACTTTTTGTTGATTATTGAGAAGTTTGTAATTTTTGTTATAAAATGAATGAAATTTTGCTATAAATAAGTAAAATGTTAGTATTTTTAATTGATTACGGTAGTAGAAAACTAATACTTTTGTTTTACTTGAATCAGTAAAAAAACTCTTCATTTAAAAGCCATTCAAAACTAAGGAGTCAATTTTACGTATGATTATCTTTTACGTATAAGTCAATATGATTATCTTTCTAGGGTTAAGAACCATTGAATAAATCTGCTAGTAATTAGTGCAAATTTAAAATAAAGCGGACGAAACCAGAAGAAACATTGCTTTAATGTCCGCAATGGGTAAAATTTATTGGTTAATTTGAAGATTTGTTTCGATTTTTTTTATTGTATTCAAAACTGTTGACATAATCTGTGTCTTCTTTATTTAACAACCGCATTTGTTATGTTCAGGTACAAAGCATCTCTCATTACTAAGAGTGTAACGAAGCAGGAAAAGCATGTTCTACAATCAGTCATGTATGAAATCTGGCGTAAAATTGTAATATCAATTTCAGTGACACCAACAGGCAGTAAATTTGTTTTGCTTTTGTACTGTAATTCGCATATTATACTCGTATTATAATGAAAGTAAAATTTGTAAAATAAACATTTGTGACAAATAAGCTTTTACCATTTAGGTTGCACTTACCATGCCCAAGCAGAGTCTCGTTAAAAAGAAAAAAATATTTCAGGATTTCATTCGCTTTGGCAAAACGTATCGTCCAACATAGAAGTGCCTTTACTCTTTTTCACAGTTAATTGAACCTGTTGTGCTTTTTGATTGACTGAAAAGGGAAAAGCAGATATTTTCAGAATTTACTACAAGATTCTTGAATGTACATTATAATACAATATAATGTAATGTTCTTAGTATATCTTATGTATATATGTAATGTTATAATGTACTTTTTAATTAGTTATATTCTTGTGTTTTCTAAATAAATTCTGCAATTTCTACATATATAATTAAAAACTTAGATTTTTTTTACAGAATTTCCATCTGTATCTAAATAGTAGTCCCTTAGCCGAAGCGCGACGATCTTGTGAATTTAACATTTGCTGTGAAACTTCATTTCAATTTTCATGTTATAATTTTAATTTCTTGATTTACGTTTTAATTTGCATATTTTCTGTGGAACTTCTTGAAACAGACTGACGATAATCTTGAAACTAATTATAAACTATATTTTGTAATAGGACACTTTGTATCCATTTTTTAATTAAATCTTAAAATGTTGTAACTGATTAATACTGTTAACTGGGTTTGGGGCAAGTGATTTGGTACAATTCGGCATGTATTCTTTAAATATAAAATTAAGTTTATAAGACTATTGAAAGTGCTAGGCTCAAGTTATATTGTAATCGGTATATTCTACTAGGTTGTAAATATTTTCTTCTGAAAAGTTTTATTTATATAGATTAATGGTGAGATACGAGCACACAGTCCTCGTATTTGTCCTCTGATTGTAATTGTCGGTTCTCTAAACTTGAAACACAGCTGTGCATTAAGCTTTTATCTAACCTATTTTACTTAGTATCTTGCGTAATCCTTCCCCGTTCGAGGCAACCCATGCATGCTACAACCTTAATATAGCTGTAGCATGACTCTACCACTTATGTGTATTAAGATGTCATCTAAGGAGCCAATTTGGTAATGACTTTACTTGCAGTCTCCCTGGCATTTCATCTATGATCTCAGAGATGTCGAGCATCTACTGCTGAACATATCTCACTTAATCATTTCTTAATGATAATTAATTTATAATTAATGTAATTAATAATTAATATAGTATAATATTCTTAATGATATCAATAGTTGATTAAACGCGATAAAATCCGTAAATATAGTTGTATTCAACATATCTTAATTACTAATTTTAAACATTTAATTAATATATTTTTGTTAAAAAATGGCCTTTTACATTTGATATTACACAACAATGCTAATGTGTGTGTTAGCGAAAAATTGTTGCAACCGGTCGTACGGAAAAAATCAAATTTTATTTGTAATTTACCAAATTGAATGGAATTTATTATTAAAATCGATAAAACTTACCATAATCTTTAGTCTTTAAAAACAAATATCGGCAAAATCCATTATAATCCACTATATTCACCAGAAAAGCACTTAATCACGCAGCGAAATACGACATGCACGATGTAAAAATATGACGTCATAAAATAATTTTAATTCGATCTTCCTGCGTCGTTTCTCATATTTTTTTTTATTTAAAAGGCAAAGGAATTCATGCCAATTATGCCTAATTACTTGTTTTGTCATGAACTCAATAATTTTTTTATCTATTTTTATTTTAAATTTATGTAGGTAGTTGTGTTTGGTTTGAGCAGCCGTGTAACCAAACTCAATTGAGGCTGTTCGTAATTGGTAACTGTAGTTACCAAACTCGCATTAGCGGTTACGGTTTGAGGCTGCTGCACGAAAAACTTTCGGTACAAGTTGACGAAATTGTCGATCTATAGGATGGGCTCATTGCCACCTCAGTTTATTGATCCCTTTTTGTTATCTGTTATAAAAACTGCGGGTTGTAGTTAGCCTGCTAACACCGCAACTATGGTAAATATCCCCCTATGGGGCTATGAATAGAGTAACTTATATTCAGCAGTGGTCTTTTAATGTGACTAATGATGTTGATGACTTGCTACGTGTATGATAACCTATAGTACATAATATGCCGGAGTGCAAAATGTACAAAATATACTTTGTTGGATGTGCGAAACGGAATTAAGGTCGCTTTTGGACAATAAATCAGACAACATAAAATTAATTTTCTGTTTTCCTTGAATGTCGTTTCTCTCCGGGCACAATTTAAATATTAATAGGACCACTATGATCAGGTGCCATGTATGAGGCATGTGCAGGTGAAATGTATGAGGATATCTCCAACGTAGCCCAACGGATTAGTAACCTGAAGTGGCAATGGGCTGGTCATATAGCTCGAAGAACCAACAACCGTTGTCGAAAAAAGGTTCGTTCTCGAGTGGCAGCCTCGTACTGGTAGGCAAAGTGTAGGGCGACCCACCATTAGATAGAGTGACGACCTGGTAAGACATGCAGGTGGCTCAGGACCGTGCTTTGTGGCGTTCCTTGGGGGAGGTATATGTTCAGCAGTGGACTTGTGAAAGGCTGTAATGATGATAATGATGATATGATCGGTTAGTTTAGCAATGAATTAACACACCTAATATTTAGTTATTGGTTAACCAATCCAAACACAAAGTTGCAGCGTTTCTATTGGGAGATATTCTACGTTCTTCTGCAAATAATGGTCATACTCACCTTTGAAGCATGTTGAGTATAACCATCAAAAAATCTTTACGCCTGCTAGGAATTTATTAAAAAGTGCTTAGCAGTAAATACAAAAATATCGAGATAACAACGATAAACGTAAAATTACATTTTCAGGAGCATATAGTTGGCGTATTTGTATACGTTCATGTCGAAATAATGAATAATAGGAGAGAAACACAAGAGATACTATGTCTAATAATCCAAACAGTCGTCTGATGCCGAGTAATAACACAAACCAACTCTTTGAATTTTTACTTTTGAAACTAACACTTTTAAGCAGTAATCGAGTTATTTTGCCTGAAAGTTCAAATAAAATAAGTTCCGTGGGACAAATATATATTTAAAAAAATACATTTCGTTTTTGAAAATAATATAACCCACATCAAATCATTTACAAGCAAAGTCCGTACAAAGATGTTCATAGTTGGTCATATCTATAAAATATATTCCCCGCAGTACAACCCTAAGATATATTGTATGACAGAAATGAACCTACCGGTAAAACAATCGGTAACTGATGCTGATCTTATTATTACGGCTCCGTGGCGCATTGGCTTAGCAATGAGTGGCTGCACTGGGAGCCGCGGGTTCGAATCCTGCACGAAACAAAAATATTTGTATTGCTTACAAATAATTGTTCCAGGTCTAGATGTCTGTTCTTGTGCAATTTATGTTTGTAAACTCTTTCCACGATACAGGAGAAAATCCTAGTGTGGGGTAACGTTAAAAAAAACTACCAACAAAAAAATAAGCCAATGTAGTAAGTAAGAGAGATCCTCCCTGCCTAACCCGCAAAGTAAAGCTATAGAATTAATGCATATAAGTCGATATCTTCATAAAATGTTTATTTTTTTCAGTTTACAATAACATTACAAAGTTATAATGCAGCTAGTTTTAAGTCGTGTTCTATGGAATTATAACGAAATTTTTAAATGTACCTAATTTGTAAGTTGGTCAACTGATACTCGCTAACTTAATTCTACTTAGCTATGATAGTTTTACTTTTAACTTCATTATATATACTACTATTGTGTATACTTTTCACATTTACATAAATAGTAGTTTAGTATGTAGAGGAGGGGTGGTGATACACACTCTAATGAAAAATACCACTAAAGTTAAATATTACGCAACAGAA